TGCCCCAAATGGATTTCACTAGTCAGGAGGGGCAAGAATTGATAGGATGTGTCCAGTTACATTTCTATAAGCGCCTTGTCTGGGTCAGGAGGCCACAGCAATGGGAATGGATCCACAAACTTGGGCAGATGATGATGCCAGAATCCTTGCCAGGGGCTGTGCTAACAACAGCATTGAGTTCATGGAGGCAGCAGGCAATTTTGTCCTTGAAGTGTGGTGCAAAAAAGGGCACACATCTTAGCGAAGATCAGGGCCTAATTTGCTGGGGAGGCCGTGAACAGTTCCAAGACTACCTGAAAATGCTGCCCTGGATGTCTGCACAGAGATGCAGTGGAGGCAGCAAAATGAAACATCTTGCTTCCAGCACTCTGCTCAGTAGGCGCCCCAGAGTGTGCTTGGTCATCTGCACGTTGAATGTTAGGCTGTTTGTATAATTTAGGCTGCAATTCTGCATGCCAGGGATGCGGGACTCCTTTTTCTCTCGGTGGAAGTCTGCGGATCAGCAGCTGCACTTAGTGGTGGGTGGACCTGTCATCCAAAATGAAGCAGATTTTATTGAATGTGTACTTTCTGTGTTTGGTGGATTGTCAAGCCTCTTTCACTCTGTTGTCTGATCATTGTCAGAATCAGATTTTTTGGTAGGACAGTTCTGCTTGTTTGCAAATGCCTACTTGCATTGGCACAAATTCCCTCCACTCCCCTTTCCCTGGAAGTAAAATGCCAGTCTCCAGAGTCTGTACAACTCAGAAAAAGCCAGTCTGGATTCACAGAAATAATTTCTGTCCATTGTTGATTTTCTGACAAACCTAAAAAGTGGAGCCACCCTCTCTCTATCTCTTTCTGATTAGTACTATGAGCAAGGATTTTAGGCATTCTTTCCCAGCCTGGTGCCCCCAGATGTTTTGGACTTTAACTCCCATCAGGCTCTGCCAGTGTGCCCTGTGGTCATGAATGCTGAGAACTGACATCCAAAGCATCTCACAATCAATCTCCTTTCTGCTTACCCCTGATGTAGGAGATGAGTGGGCGGGGCAGGAGGAACGGCCACCTTTCTTTAAACATTACCACCGCTTCCTGCACAAGCTCATACTTGAGATGCCGGCTGGCCACTTCCTGCATAGAAACCCTCCCATGCAGGACAGGTTCGGCTCTAATCAAAATGATGTATTTTCTTGCCTTCCTGGAGCTGCTGACACAGAGCCAGAATTCCCAAGTACAAAAGAAGAGCCCTGCTGATCAGAGGATCAAGCCCCGCATTCAGTTCACACAGTGGCCAGCCAGTTGCCCACAGAAAGCCTGCAAGCAGCCCCTTCCCATTGGTGTTCTCCAGTAACTGCTCTACATGAGCGTACGGCCGCTGATCACGTACCCATCAGAACTAGTAGGCGTGAATAGCCCTCTCCAGGTACTACTGCATGCGCCCAGCCTTGGCTTCCCCCTCCTCCTTCCACTATAAATTCTGGATTCAGCTCTGGGCTTGCTTGCTTGCCTTGGGTCTCTTCTGTGTGTCCTCATGCACATATACAATGCTCTACACTGAGGTCTGAAAGCAAAGAGTGGACCTCCAGTGTCTGGTTAGCCCAGAAAGACCATTGATGGGTTGTGGGCCCTGTGGGCGCAGGTTCTCCCGCCCGTGTATACCTTGGAGTAGCTACCATTGAACTCAACAGGACCTCCTCCTTGCTGTACATGCATAGGATTGCATAACCACAGGCTGAAACTGCAGAATATGCACTACAGAATCTTCTCCCATCTGTCTGTGTATTTGTTTTGCACCTGTCACCTGGAGTATCATCTGCTGTTTCTTTGCCCACTTTCTTTTACTTGCACAATTTGTAGATTTTACTGGTTTAGCTTTATTTATCGTAAGCCGTCTCATGTTGGTGTGTAGTTAGCGAAGATCCTAAAACGTGGCTGTTAATTGGTTCATTTTCTGGGGAGAATGACCTCACGTGCCCCCCATGTGTCTCTTATGCTGGCTGGGGCATAGTGGAATTATTGAGCTTTTTCCCAACAAGCAGTGACTAAACGACTAGAGCAATAAATCTAACTAGTTTTTTGCTGGAACTATGTCTGGCATAAGCATTGCACTTTTTGCTTCGGTGGGTGTGTGTGTCTCTCTCTTACCTTGGTCAAAGTTGGTTGTTCAGAGATCCCATGACCAAGCACAGCACATAATGAGATGAATGTATAAGAGTGAGTGAGAAATACTCCCTTACAGTCTACATAGAAGTATTTGTTTATGCTGGGCTTGGTTTTGTAGGCGCCAGTGAACTTACAAATTTGAAATGTTGTTTCAGCCTTGTGCATTTGGTTTAATTTTGTGTCTGCTGCGCACACTTAGGAGCTAGCAGAAAAGTTGCTACAATCACTCTTTGCATATACAGGCACTGTAATATGGCAGCCAGATGGCAATGCATCTGCAGACTCCAAGCACTGAAGAAACAAATGATGCTTCTATAGACAGCAAAGGATCATTATGGCTGTGTTATTTACTACTCTTTTAAGTTGGCACAAGCCAAAGCAAGGGGCCCATAAAGGATATTGCCCTACAGACAGCGTTGCGCAGCCAAAATATTGGTTGTGTAACATGTGGTCCCAATATTACCTCTATCTGTGTGCACTTCAACAAAGGCATATTAGATTTTGTGGGGGCAGTGGGGTTATTTTTTTCCTGCTTCTAATTTATCTTTCCATTTCTTACAAAATACCTAAGTGGCAAGCAACTCACCATCCAGAAGCAGATGCAATTTAAGGACAAACCTGAACAAAAGCAGAGAAATAACAAATAGAGTTTAGCCAAATGGGTTTCAAATGAGGCAGACTGGAACAAAGCAAAACACGAAGCAAATGCTTTTAGTTGGCACTTGGACGGTCCAGAAAGGTTTCCTGCAGCAGATAGTTCCATGGTTTGGGCACTGCAACATCCAAGATCCTTCTCCTTGTTTCTACCATTCTTACATCATTTGGCAGTGGGACATGCAAAAGAACCTCTCCAGCTGGCCCAGGTGTCGAGGCAGGGCCTTGTTGAAAAGAAATGGGGATCATTTGTAATGTAAAATCCACATGATCCAGGGTGTCAGGGCCCGGGGCTGGGATCTCGGCAGCCAGAGACAAGGCAAGAGTAATAGAGGCACCAGGGCAACAGAACTTCAGGCAAGACAGAGTCCAAAAGCACGGTCTAATGGAAAGTCCCAAGTCGTAGTCATGGTACAGGCCTAGACCAGGAACTAGAAGAATACATGAGGGCAGAACAAGGACGTGGTCAGGAACAAGTGAAGGGTCAAGGAGCAGAAGGACAAGCAGAGGTGCAGGTACCTTGGACAGGATAACAGAGTGGGAAACTGCATGGCAGGATATATGAGCAAACAAGAACCAGATACAGCAAGGGTCCTGTGAGATGCAGGCACTACACCACAACTTACAGGAAGCCCAACATTACTGAGGCAACGTGGCAAGGCAGGATACACAGATGAGGCATGACATAGGTTGGGCAAGAAGCAGGCACAAGAGCAAGGCGACATAGAAAGGCAGGAACCAGGAATGGTGAGGCAAGGAGCAGGCACCAGAGCAAACCTGTGTTGCTGAGGCAACAAGGCGAGGCAGGAGACGTGGCAAGATGCAGGATACACAGCAGGAACCAGGAGCAGGAAAGGTCAGGCAGGATGTAGGCATAGCAGTAAACAGGAGGACCTGTGCTGCTGAGGCAACAAGGCGAGGCAGGAGACGTGGCAAGAGGCAGGATACACAGCAGGAACCAGGAGCAGGAAAGGTCAGGCAGGATGCAGGCATAGCAGTAAACAGGAGGACCTGTGCTGCTGAGGCAACAAGGCGAGGCAGGAGACGTGGCAAGAGGCAGGATACACAGCAGGAACCAGGAGCAGGAAAGGTCAGGCAGGATGCAGGCATAGCAGTAAACAGGAGGACCTGTGCTGCTGAGGCAACAAGGCGAGGCAGGAGACACCACAAAACCAGGAGCAGGTACTACAGCAAACTGGAGGAACTGTGTTGCTAAGGGCAGCTCTGGAGGGAAGAGCTTGCTTTTGTGCAGTTCTTCCTCAGGACTCCCAGCTGCTGCTCATCAGTAGAATGAGAACTCCAGCAAGCCTTGGGACCAATCCTGCAAATACAGTGCTGGTAGTTGTTCTGGTTCTGGCCACCAGAGCAGCCCAGATCCTAATACAGCTTCAGGTTGGGATGAAACATACCAGAATCCATCCCTCCAGCATTTGCAGGCTGGCTTTTGTGTTTTTGCCTGGCGTGGCCTGGCCTGATCTTGGAAAGTGAACTGAGCCAAATGGACATCTGTGAACACTTGCAAAATGAAGGCTGCACAACTCGCAACCTTCTTTTGCCTCAAGCGCAGCAACACAAAAGCTGTGGAAGAGGGATGCTGCTTGCACAGCAGACGGGGCTAGGTACCTGGCAAGTGCCCTGCAGATGCTTGCAAACTTGGGGCCACAAACAAAGCAGGCTGGAGCATGGGGAGCCTGGTCCAGGGAATCTGATGGATCCCATCCCCAGGTGGATTCCGCACACACCAGTCGTCCATCATCGTCTTGCCTATTAAGTATGGGGAAGGATAGAAGATCATGTTACATTTTTGTAAGTGTGTATTTTGTATAGTAAGGACTGGCCTCAGATTGGCCGCTTTAGAGTGGGAGGGATTGCATGAGAAATCACAGGGTTCTTTGCTTTTGTCATTGTAGTCTGAATTCATCAAATTTCCTAACTTTCTCCCCTGCCTTTGTGCATGATTTGGCCTACAGCTTCCAGCATGCTTGTCATTGGCTGTGTTGGTTAGGGCTGATGGGAGTTGTAGGCCAGAATATCTGGAAGGGTCCACCCCACACTTTGAAGTAAGTCTTGTTATTCAGTGACACTTGTGTCCTAATGAACATGCTTAGGATTTCAGTCATTGAGTAGATGTCAAATAGCATGACTGAATGAAAAATGTGTATATTTTTAAAAAAGTTGCCTGCTCCTTTCATTTTTTCCAGAGCCACATCCATCTGGGACAACAGTCTGCAGATTACAACCTTGTGCAGTGTGGTAGGAGCATGGTTTGGAGCATTTCCTATTCCCCTGGATTGGGATCGACCATGGCAGGTTTGTTTTTAATCTCCTTTTGAGCTAACATGACTGGATCAGCCCATGATCCATCTTGTCCAGAGTTGTTTCCAAGAGCGGCCTTCAAGACACAAAAGGGGCTGGAGGTAACAGTTTTTCCCCTTGTTTGTCCTGTACCATATGATATTTAAAAGTATACTGTCACCAGATGTGGAGGCTTCGGTATACTGGAAAATGGCCATCACACAACCTTTCCCGCAAGAATTGATTGAGCCCAGTGGTAGGAAACTTCAGGGGGTTACAGTATTAGCCCAGTCAATCAAAACAGGACATAGGAGTAAAACTTTTTCCTCAGGTTTCTCTCAGTTTGTTCACAAGGAAAGTTTTGTTTCCTTGCTTGAAAGATGATGAGGCTGCTGTCATGATGGGGCAGAGCAAGGCCATTGCCAAGATCTTAAAGATTCAGGATCATAGGACCCAAATCTGCATAAAATGTACATATGCTGACTTAACGTTCCCCAAGCTGTGCACCCGGGATGTGTTGGACTGCAGTTTCCATCATTTGCAGCAAGATGCAGGGCTTGGGCCCTGTGAGTCCAGGCCTAGCCACACCCCAGGAGTAAGGCGGCAGTTCACATGATCACAGCGGTTCTCCATGGGCTGTGCTGTGTGCCAGCAACCTTTCTGAATATTCAGCCCCTGACAGGTGGCTGCTTTGGCTTCTTGGCTGAACCTGCTGAGCAGGGGTTGTTGGAGAGGAAGCAACCCTCTTAGAACTTTACTAGGGACTGGGAGGGCTATACCAGCTTAAGCCATCATGCGCACCCAGCGAGCAAAAGAGAGCAGAGTGCGTGACAGGGCTGAGTGTTTCTGGTTCACTTTGGGCAAACGTCCTGCCTCGTTGCTCAGCAGCAGGGTGGAAATGTCATTCTTGCAGCCCCACCCATGGCCATTGATGTGGCTGCTCTGATGTCAGGCAGGCCATGTGCTCTCATGTCATCCGAGGATGTGGCCTGTGGTGTTGTAGCTTCTGTCCATTAAAACCACTTAGCAGTGTGCACTTGAAATGGCTACTGGATCCAAATTGATCTGCAGGAGTGGCGTGGCTGAGTCCTGCCCTGAGAGCATACTTTGCACTTCCAGACAGAGCTCTGCCAAAGTGTGAGCTTTTTGCTGGTTATGGGGAAGATGTGAAGCTTGCTGTACGTTCAGCATGCCTGAATTCCTTTTGGCAGTTGATGCCATTTTAGAATTTGCAGAGCCTCTGCCTTCCCTACATTAAAAAAAAGGTGTAAAAGCCCCCTTTTAAGTGGAGTGAGGGGAGCAAGAGCGGGCATCAATGGATTCTGTCAACGATGGGAAGTCGGTTAAAATATTCTCACAGTTGGTACAGGCCAACTGGGAGAAATAATTTTTTCTGGCATAAAGTATTTCGCAGCAGAAAAGTTTGAATTGAGTTTTATTGGTTTTGCATAGATTTTATTTCAGATTTAAATGAATATGGGTTGATTCTAACTTTCTCCTTTAATGAATTTCCCCCTTTTCCTCCCTCTCTGTTTCACATCATGGCACCTGCCACTGCCACTGCCCAACTAATTGCAGGTTAACTTTGGTTTTTTAACCCACGATTAACCCATAGTTCACATACCATGAAGCAACCTCCAGTCACTCTGGATGCAGATTGGATATTAAATTGCACACATGACCCTGACAGATTGTGAGTTATGTGTAAACTGGGTTTCTCTCTCACACACAGTCCCCGCCACCAATGAGGTGTAAAGGGTGTGTGCACATTTCTTTCGAAAATGTGGATGTAGAGATCAGGAAAGGATCGGGTCACTGCTTTTCTTTGTTTTGTTATTTTTTAAAAAAAGCAAATGTCCAATTGTCAAGAGTGAATTGGTGTCCTAGCCATTTGTATCCACATACAGAATCAGCAGATGATCGGTGGATGGAATTAGGCAAGGCAGCAAGCCACAACCTGGCATGGACCCCAGCTTGGCCTGGAAGCAGAAGTCAGTGTGAGTGGAGGGGAGAGTAGGCAAAGAGAGAGGCAGAAATTCATGGGTGCCTGAGAAGAGGCACCAACATTACAAAAAAGGCAGGGATGGCAATCAGCACATTGGCCATCAGTGGCCACTCTGGCTGTCAGCACATTGTTGGGCACATTATGAGCAGCCTCCCATCTTCAAAGGGGACCAGAATTGAAGGAACTCTCTCCAGAGGAATGCCTGTGTGTTGCTCTGAAAACAGCAAGGAGCCCTGCAACACCTTAAAGACAAATGGGTTTATTGTTGGCAGAACCTTTCATAGACTAGAGCCCATGTTGGGGTCTGACAAAGTCTACCAAATTTTACCATCACAGAAAGTATGTTTGTCTGTAAAACAAAGGTGAGCTAGAACCCTGAGATCCACGGTTAGGTTCTAGCATGCTACAAAGAGCCAGTGTGGTGTAGTGGTTAAGAGTGTGGAACTGGGACTCGGGCGATCTGGGTTCTAGTCCCCGCTCAGCCATGGAGCCAACTGGGCCAGTCACAGACTCTCAGCCCAACCTACCTCACAGGGTTGTTGTTGTGGGGATAAGATGGAGGAGGAGATGTATGCTGCCTTGAGCCCTTTGTAGGAAAAAGGCAGGATATAAATCGAAAAATGAATGACGGAAGGAATGGTTAGGCTGAAAAAATTGGGAGCTCAGAAATTTGCTTTGAGGACCCGAGCTGAATAGAGCTTCCCATCCATCCACACAAACACTCGCTGCTTACTACCCCAAGCCTCCCTCAGTCCTACAGTGTAATGGGACGTACTTCTGCTTTTCTGCAACAGAAGTCAGAAATCCTTGAACTACTATCTCCTACCAATTGTTCAGAGATCTGCTAGTAGATCCAGATTTCTGTTCTACCCGCTCCTGTTTTAAGGTGCTTGCAAGACACTTTGGTATTTTAGGAAACAGCCTACAACTAATATTTTCCAATGTGACCACTGGAAGTTGCTGGGCAGGCTCCCAACAACATCAGTGGGCTTTGGCAGGCTGCAAATTAGCAGAGCCTTCAACTTTGCCACCACAACAAATAGTCTGAATTTACCCTCTGTTCTCACCAAGTTTATTATCATAATTATCACCATCATCTTTATAGAAAATGTGGATAAATCAGATGTTATGCTGTAAAAGTAACTTGTAAATGGGGCTTGGTATTGCTGAGACAAAGGCAATACAATCGATGATGAATCAGTGGGAGGAAACCATAAAAACCATAAAGATTGGAAAAAGTAAAACTCTTTGCCAGTGGCTGACTTTTTGAACTCAAGAAGTATTTATTAGGGAAGGTTGTATTCTTGTAAGGACTTAGGCTTCCCCCAGTCCTCAAAATATGTGATCATTGAATTGAGGGAGAAGAAACACTGATGTCAATTTGAGAAGATATGAAAAGGTGTCCCCAACCTGATCAAATGGAGATTGAATTGAAATATAAACTGTGTTGTAGTGGAATCGGGGCTTGTGGGGATGCAGCACTAACACTTTTTCATGAGTAGGGTTGCTGGTATCTGCTGCCTTCCTCAGACTCTCCTGTTCCTTTTGAGTGCAGTTGCAATGCTCTCAGAAGCTTGGAGAAATGAGTTTTCCCCAGCAACAATTACATGGGCCCTGTTGTATTTCTGAGTGGTTTGTTGCAATGGGCAATTAATACCCACTAGCTTTACAGAAGACCTGCTTCTTCCCTGAACAACTGGAAAGTTGATTTGGAAATTCAACACAGCTGCCTGGAATCTTGGCCTCTCCTTGGAATTATTATTACACTGTGTTTATATCCTGCCTTGTTTGTTTGTTTATTGCATTTGTATGCTGCCCCATACGAATGTTTATTTATTGAATTTGTATGCCATTTCTCTTGTGAGAAACCCAAAGCAACTTACATAGCTCCATTATCCTCACAACAATGCTAATTGAACTGTACAATCTAGTCCGCTCTTCCAAAACTGTGTTCCCCAACCTGGTGCCCTCCAGATACGTTGGGGCTACAGCTCCCACCATTCCCAGCCAGTACAGACACAGTCCTGTCACTGAAAAATGATTTGTTCTTAGCTTCCTTTTGTTCATCCTCGCTCTCTTTTTGAGAGGTTTCTTCTCTTTTAATATGCCTGTCAAGTAATTTTCAGTATCTACAAATCTGAAAAACTGCACCATTCAGCAAAAATTAGTTCCTTCTGAAATGCCTATTTATAATGCAACATGAGCTATGAAATTAAAGTGGAAATAAAACTGAATTGCCTGAAAACAGAAATACCCCTCACTCTTGCAAAATATATAACCTACTAAATCTCTTCATGTGCTCTAACTTCATGTAATTTCTATAAGGCACGCTATTGACTGAACGCTTGACCCATCTCTGTGACCAGTGCTGCTACCCCCTGCCCCTTACTGTCTCCTCTTTGGATACATTACCCTGAGAATGGCAATTCCATGATCCTTCAAAAGGTTGATGGGATCATGTTCAACTGCATCTCAATTACTGCACCATCAACTATTGTACTGTCATGAGTCTGAAGTCAGGGGAAATATTTAGGGGTTGACAAGTGGGTGCCCTCCAGATAATTTTGAGCCGCGACTTCCATCAGTCCCAGAATGCAGGGCGTTGTAAATGCAAAGTCCAGGACAACATGGACTTTGTTGTGTTGTATATACATGCAGCCTCTGAAGCCCCCGTGTTCCTTACAAAACACATTTTCAGCATCCAACACATTTGCACCTGATCAATATAGGAAACCTGTACGGTAGATTGGTATTACTAGACCCATGCTACTGGAGACTGCAGCAGCTGGACATGAACGAGGGTGTGGCTGTTCGCTTGAAGGCCACCAGGCAACTTCATGACAAAGGAGAGGTCTAAGGCAGCCTCTTCAACCTTGTGCCTTCCAGACACGCTTGGACTGCAACACCCAGAATTCCCAGTCAGTGGCCCTGCTGGATGGGAATTCTGGGAGATGCAATCCAAATGCCTCTGAAGGCCACCAGGTCGGGGAAGGCTAGTCTGAGGTATGGGACATGGCCAGAAAGTGTGTACGTGCAGCCATGTGGGTGGAACTGGTTGTGTGGAAGTTCCTGACCTAGTCAGCCACTTCCTTTGTAGCAGCAAAACCTCTGCATGAAAGATCTCATGTGGTTGCCATATTCACGTACACTGTAGCACGCTCCTACTTGGTTGAATGCACATGTGTGAAACAAGAAGTCGGAGATAAAAATGGAGCCGGAGATTTGGTTTCGTATCCTGGACAGAGTTTGTGATTATTGCAATAGGCAAGATAGTTCTGCATAAATGATCAGCCTGCGTGAACAGAATTCTTATAAAACACCCTACTGATTCCGCTCAGCTGGTGGCCAGGATCCAGGGAGCTACTTACAGGAACCCCAGGGGTTTTGCATGCCCAATGGGATCCTTTTTTCCCCTGGATTGTACACATCACAGGCTGCTTTTGAAAATCTCCTCCTTTGGTTTGGTGGGCAACTTGTGTTTGGGAAATCCTGCTTCAAAGCCATGCTGGAGGCACACCCACCTAGATGGGTGGTTCTGCAGCTCTTGGCCTTAAATTCTTCCCAGACTAGTGCAAAATAAAAGCAAGCTATTGCTCCTGTCAATCTTTTATCTACTGAGCCGACCACACCAAGGTCTTGCTTTGAACTGCCTTGCTTAAAAGCATCCCCAAACTGTCCTCTGTCTGAAAGACCAGACTCTGCACCTCTTAAAATGCCTCTGTCATTTATATGGGGAGGTGTGCATGGAAAGGGGGCATGGGAGAATGGAGCAGTGATGGCTGTAAGGTTGGAACAGCTGAAGAATGCTTTCTGAGGGGCGGTGGTTATTTTTCTAGTTTAGAGGACACCTTTTGTGGCAGGGGAGTTACATTGACTAGAAATCAACTCAGCAGCAATTGGCAAGTTCCGGGCACAAATCAGTGTATAGAAACAAAATAGCAAGGTGCCCAAAGTGTGGATGCATAAAGAAGAAACAGTAAGGGCTCCAAACTCCTGAACTTCCCCAAGCACTGCATTTAAAAGGAGCCTTTCTTTTGGCCAGTTAGGAGGGAGCACAGGAATCCAGTGGTCCCTTCCCTTCCTTGACTCACAAACCCTTCCCTGCCCTACTCAGACATTAGCTGCATGCAACTGAGCAGCCTTTGAAGCTAGGCTGCAAGGTCAAAAGTGAAAGGCATGGCATCAAGGGCAGACAAAGGTCTTGCCATTAGCAGCACATGCCTTCGAACTGGCCCTGAACCCTTCAAGGATGGGGGGGAACTGCACTATAGTAAAAAAAATAAAAAAAAATCAAATAGCTAGTAGCTGGGGGAAGGAGGGGCAATCCCAGAGGGCTGGATAGGGACCCCAAGTGGGTTGCACTTGTCTCACAGGGCTGAGGAACTCTCTCCTTTTGTTTAAGGGGCGTGGAGAAGGAATGAAGCCATAGTCTTGGCTTCTCGCTGAGCTGTGCTGATGAGGTTCAGGCAATTACATTTGTATTGGCCCTTGTGATGGACAAAAGAGAGACGTTTTACCCCACCAATGATGATAGCTAGGAATGCATCAAACCATTGATTGCCCCATTAAGAGAAGGCTTCATGGTTTGGTTGAAATATGCATATATCGCCCATGTCTGCTAGACATGCAACAGGAGTTTTTCAGACAAACGCAAGTACGCAATTGTCCGTATTATTTTTATTATCTTCTCATGATCGGTCAATTCCAGATGAAGTTTATTTTGAATGAAACTGTCCAGTGGAAGTACAGCCTTCACCCAGCCACAGCGCACACTGCACTAGCACTGAGTATACATTGTCTTGCACAGAAGACTCTCTTGACATTTGGTGGAAGGTATGCAGTGCCCCATTAACAAGCAAGCGGATCTTTGGTTTCAAAAGCATTGTGAAGCCCCAGCCTGTGGCTAGAAGCCTGAAGCAAGGTCAGTAAAGAGTACCTAAGGCACCTCATGTAAAAATTAGCGTCACATTTGCTACACTCCGAAAGACCTTCACAAGATGCTGGAGAAAAAGAATGCACTTTGGGGAAAACGAAGCTTACAAGTGGGAAATTCAGATCACAGTCAGTTCCAAAAACACAACAGAAATTTTGGCTTAACGCATAAACAGGCAGTGCAGTGAAAGGTTGAGCAACTAGGAGAAACTAGAACAGTGTGCCAACTCTCTTTCCTCCCCCCTCAGCGTAAAGATGTATTTCTGGAGTTTGTTTATTGCAAGCCTAGGGCAGGACAAGGAGGGACAACTTGCCTTCATTATTTTCCCTGATGCCCAAGGTACATTTCACTTGTTGCCCAGTCGATGATGGGGGAAAAGCAGGGGGTCTGGTAAGGAGTGACATGAATTGTGCCTTTTATTACAGATGAAGGAAATCTAGTGTATCCTTGTCTTAGAATAGCAGAAGGCACAGTGAGGTGAGATGGTCCATACCATAGCGCACAAAAGAGGAGACCTAGATGGCAACACATTTAGACAGGTTGTGGCTTTTAGTGCAAAGTAAATCTCAGCTAGTGATCTCAACCCCCACATTTCAGAACTGGGAGTAACCCTTTTCTTTTTGCATTCAGATCCTGAAAACTGAGTTGTACATTTTGCCCAAATATCCAAGCCCATATTGGAATGGTATTATTGTGAAATTTAAAGGTCTCTGATCCTTAGAATTGTAGTGCTCATGATAGAAGCCCTATGTACGGGTTAGGATTGTGTTGCCCTGCCTCATATTCCTGAGTGCCACCTAATACAAGTGTATTATTCTAATAAGGACTTGTGTACACAGAACTCAAGATATGTAGGTCTTCTCTTTGTGACCCTCATACACACACCTGTGGGAAAGGAACAGGTGCATCTGATCTACACCTGTTAGGGCCTACGCCCAAAAGGCCCCTATTGAAACGTGACTCCAATGCATGAATGCCAGTTGGGCCAAGATGGCACGCTCTCTGAAAGTGTCTTAAAAGGCCTTAGTATGATGGAACAGCGGACACTATGCAGTGACAGGAATCACCAGCATGTTACATCAGTTCGTCAAAAGGGTGCTCAAGGAAGCCATTACGTTGTAACCCAGAGGTGACTGCCATGCCTGCCAGGGTGGAGGGCTATGAGACGCGGCACGCCTTGGCTTATCTTGCATCCCACGCACTTCCAGGAGCAATGTGTTGGCCCAAAGTGATTTCACCACAGAATTCGGCGTCTGATTAATTTTAAGGAACCAGAATCTAGTTTGCATAACTTGGAGATACAAATTGAGCACAGCTGAAATATAAAAGAGCACTGAAGTAAGTCAGCATCCATTAATGTGTCTTCAGTTTTGCTTTTCCACTTTCATGGAAATCTTTTAAGTCAAATCTGAGTGGCATGGCTAGTTGATGTCAACCAGCTGGATGTTCTTTAAAGCATTGTGGACTTGAGGCAGGATTCTAGGGCCAGCAGACACGGTCTGCCTAATCACAGGAAATGGTAGTTTCTGTTGCAACCTCAAAAAGCCTTCAGAGGTCGCAGAGGGGAATCTGCCTTTGAAGAGGGCCCCTTCCGCCCTCTCCACTGGCATGGTTTTTCCATGGAAGATGGCAGACCATCTTCAGGACAGGCTGGGGGGCCTTCCAGGGGGAGGGGGAGGCAAAACCTTCTGCCAAGTCAGGGTGGTGCCTTGGTCCCACCTCCTTGCAAGAAAGGCAAAAACATTGAGAGGGCCAACACCAGCTTCCAAATGTCCTCAGGCTGTGGGACAAGCAGAAGCAACGCTTGCTTTGCTGCTCTTCCCACCCTTGGCAGGATGCCTGCGACCTTCTGAGTTCAGAAGATGATGGGCAGCCACACAGGATGGATCCCTTAATAACTACAATTCAAATCTGAACTCTCCTTGGTGGACTTAAATGCTTTTTATTAATTCAACTGCAATAGAAAGTTGCAAGAAAGCATTTATATTTGTCAAGAGCCAGCCTTTTTCCAGTTGAACATCAAGCCTGGTTTCTTCTTTAGTTCTGGGGAAGCTGCCCTGTGCAGACTGCTTCCTGCACTGCTCTGACAGCTGTGCACAACGAGGGGAGGGCCTATTTGCAGTACAAGCGGGCAGGTGCTTCTCTGTGAAGCCACATTATAGCACTGAGGGTGAGATCCATTTGGGTATATTGCCTGGACAGTTGGTCTGGGCTGTGGGAGAGCTGGGCTGTATCCCCACTCACTGGGTGATTTGGGACAGTCACAAGTTCTCAGCCTAACCTACCTCGCAGGGTTGTTGAGAGGATAAAATGCTGATCAAGCAAGCCTGGCAAGCTACATTGGGTTCCTTGCAATGGGAAGGTTGGGCATAAGTATAAGGTAATACTTGTTAGTGATATAACGAAGCAACCGTCCCATTGACCAAACAGGTTCCAAGGGCAATCCTGCCGTTCCCTGTAGCTGCCCATGTGCCCTCAAAAGATTTGGGGTGGGGAGGGTTGCTGGGGGCTACAGCAGAGCAATCCACTCATGCAACCAATTTCAAGAAATGCCTTTTGCTGGGCTAAAGAGGAAACCGCTTAATTTACTGAACAGTGGGCTTTGCCACCTGACACCTTCCAGACTGCCAGTGGCCATGTTAGATGGGAAGGATGGAAATTCCAGTCCAACACAGTCTTGCTAGAAAGGAAGCAGGCAGCAGGTGACCTTCTTCCTTGCCCCTCACTCCAGCTTTACCTTCCTCAGAAAGCAAAGGAAACCCTGTCTTTTATTCAGACATAAATGTTTGCAAAATCAGGCCATAGGGACCCGAGTTAAAAAAACAAACCTTGTGCTCTCCTCTTTCCTGGCTACAGGCTGTTGGAGGTAGAGTGCTGGCGTTAGAATGGATGGGGTGCTATTTTCACGATCTGATCTCAGCCAAAGGGGGTGGCTTGTGCTTCCAGTCTCCTGGAACTGGCTTCCCCCTTTCGCTGCCTGTTTCCCTTTGTCTGGTAGGAGCTTGGCCCCGTTCAGGCATGGTGGCCAAGCAGGGAATGCAGGCGCAGGCTAGAGGCACGAGGCCGCACGTGCGATCCCTGAGCTGCCCTTCCTGCCTGCTCCACCCCAGCCTTCCTGCACTGAGTGCACGTCGAGGCCGTCCCGCAGTTGGGCACCCTGCTCCATCGGGGCCCTGGCTAGTGTCATGCTGAGGGTGTCTGGCCAGGTGTGCACGGGTGCCCCCTTCATACCAAGCAGGGGACTGAGGGTCGTGTGCACCACCCCACGCTTCCTGCATGAGCTGCGATTCTCTGTTTAGGCCAAATGGCCAGACAGGGTGACTAGCTTCTTCATGGGAAGGCAGCACTGTGGATGGGCTGGGAAGGAGCTCCAAGCGATGGCTAGACTGGAGCCAGCTCCTTTTTCCCAGCGGGCAGCAGCACTTCCCGAGTGGAGCTCCACTCAGAACACGTCTGGCAGGGGAGAAGGCTGGGGCAGAGGCGATTCCCCCACCCCTGCATCCTCCCATGCTGCTCCCCACCCCAGTTCCAGAGCAGATTTGGGTCTGCCTGAGGGACTGTTGTAATGGGGGGAAGACTGACAAGGGCTGCCATCCTGTCTGTAGAGTCGCCCTGCATCAGAAGCCTCCTGCAGACAAAAGGAAGCCTTCTCTCCTCAGGAAGCATTTCAGGAACTGATGCAATGTGCCCCTCGCCAAGATGGCGGAGTGCAGCCATGCAGGCAGGCACCCTTGCTGCAGCCAGGGGAGGAGGCAGCCCGAACCTTGTCCTTGCTTCTGAGCTATGGCTTCCTTTACTCTGCTTCTTTCCATTGTGCTTCATTGTCAAATATTCGGTTGTAGCTATTCCAGAACAAAAGATTCCGATGATGGAGGGGGAAGGCCTCCAGACCATTTAAACATTCCATGATTAAATAAAGGGGGAAAAATAACCGCAAAGCAGGAGTGCCGCAGGCACACAAAGAGCTCCACAAATGCTGCCCCTCTTCTGGGCATTCTCAAGCATCCTCTGTGAGAGCAAAAGCTGAGTTACATTTGAATGCACAGTGGCTTAAAAACTGTACAACATTTAGTGTTTGTAAGAAATGCATGATGGCCATGAACACTTTTGCCATTCTCCTAGAAAGCGTGTGAAAGCCCTGCAATGGATCCAGTATCACATTTTGGTTTCTTCTTTTGATGCGGCTGAAAGAGTGTACCCATAAAAGTACATCAGGGGCTACCTCTTCCCTTTTGCCCAACTCTCCGCCTTACACAGCATTCTTCTCTTTCAGGTGTGGCCCATTTCTTGTTCACTTGGAGCCACCTTTGGCTACATGGCCGGTCTCCTCCTCGCACCGTTGTGGATATACTGGAACAGGAAGCAGCTTACGTACAAAAGCAGATAACTGGCGCAAAGAGAGAAAGCTTTTGTGCCATTGTGCCGATTCTGTAAAACCGTGTAGCAGAGACTATGGTCAAAGCAGGAGACGATCCAGACGTCTTCAAAGCAGCGCTGGGTTCTGCGCCTTCTCTCACAGCAGGGCTCAAACGCTGTGGCAATGCGGTAGTGCATCTGTCGCTTGTCCTAAATTGTGTTACCCCTGAGAGATTGTTCATTCCTTCCAGTCTGAATAAAGTATTTGTAACAGATGGTGCCTGTTCCCTCACACATTTGGGATTTCCTCCCTCCCCTGCTGGATTTCACCAAATGGCAACCCCCAAAATCGGCTTCTCAGTTGATCTATGATCTATTAATAGGGTAGCGGTGTTTTTAAGTGAATATCTGCATGTTATCTGACACTTCACAGTACGCGTGGCTGTTGCTCCGGCGGGTCTCACGTGATCAAGCAGCAATTAATGCATCTTGAGCCTATTCTTTTTTTCACCGTGTGTTTCTTTGGAGTTAAAATGGCTATAATAGCTTCATCAAAAACTGTCTTCAGTCCTTTCTGAGTTAAAGCAGAGCACTCCACGTAGCAGTAGCCCCCTATCTGTCAAGAAAACAAAAGTGTTTAATAGCTATGCAGGTACAGATCTTCTCCCCAAATTCTGTTTGTAAGTTCACAGGGCTGTTGTTTGCATAGTAAGCATCAAGACTGGTTTGTTCCTATTTTGTCTTTGCTGTGTGGAAAAATGTTCTAGCATTTGACCCTCTAAGGAGAAGAATTAACTCCATCACTTTTTGTGACAGAGAGACTCTGGTTCTGTTTCTGAGGAAAACACATTACATGTGGTGGTTTCGCAATGGCAGTGTAATTGACGGGGACATCAGGAAAGTACAATGTTCAAGAGACATTAGATGGCAGTTTTGTCAGCCTCTTCAGATGGGTTGGTTTACAATTCCCATCCTCTTCAGCCAGCATAACCAGTAAGAACTTCAGTCTAACATATCTGGAGGGCACCTGGCTGGGGGAAGAGCTGGATTAAACTCCCAAGTTTATGACCCAGGCAAGCAATTTTTGGCCCTCCGGATGTATTTGCTGGCATATTCCATCAACCTTAACCAGCAGAGCTCAAGGTAAGGAATGACACCTCCATATTTTAAATGCTGTTAATTATGGAATGCCCTAAAAGCATAGCCAAACATTTTAATTCTCCAAGACTCACTTTGTTTTATTGTCTCCTGTTGCCATGAGTTATTTTCTAATTATCAAAAAAGTATTAAATGAACCACACTAATTAGAAGTATTTAATACTATGTTTTATTCATAAGCAAAATGGCTTCATTAGCTACTAAGATGATTCTGTGCTTAGTGCTAATGCAGCAACCTCAAAATACTCCACTGACTACAATAACCTCCACATAACAGAACATTCCTGTTTCCTTTGGAAAGGTTGTCCTCTGATGAAATCAAAAAGTGCTGTTGCCCCATTTGGCATGTTTATTAGAGAATGCAGTCTCTATCCAGCAATGTTGTTTGAGTAGCGGGCTTGGAATTTCTGATCTCTGAACCCTAATCAACAATTTGCTCCCCCTAGATAAGTTCCCCAAGTTTACATCAGAAGCTGGCTGAGTACAGCTCTGGATGGTTATTGCCTGTAATGTCAGGAACCTACTCCAGTCTTCAGGTGCAAGGCTTTAAATTTATGGGTTGGCCTTTCTTTCAAAAAGGTTGTGAATCAATGTTGAAATGAAACAAACACCTTAAAATTGTTTCGCAGGAAAAAGTCTGACATCTGATCCAGGATTTAACACTGGGATGTAGATTTATTATATCAACCTTCCTCACCTGGCACTTCCTCACTTCAGAGCAATACGACGGTGGAACCAGCTGCCTAGAGAGGTGGTGGGCTTTCCCACTAGAGACATTCAAAGAGAAACTGGACAGCCATCTGAGTGGGAAGGTGCAAACTGGGGTCCTGCAACAGCAGGAGGGTTGGACTGGATGGCCTTCATGGCCCCTTCCAACTCTACCATTCTATGATTCTGTGTATGACATACGCTTCCATGCAATCGTAGAGAGAAATTGCTTCTGGTACACCTCAAAGTAATAGAACTGAATGCAAATTACTGCCCCTTTAATGTGGGCTGACGCTTTTCTGTAGTGCTTTCAGTTATGCTATTACACGGCATTTGTGCAACACAGGGTCTTCTCAGTGGAAGCAGCTACATGATGGAATTTCCTTCTAATGAAGGCTGACCTGGCTTCTTCACTAATGGGGCTGAAGCTCTGCTAGTCTGGATGACATTTGGGATAGCAGTAACTAGTTGTTTTCATTTCTTTCTTCAGCACTGTTTAATTGCTCTTGGCATGATTACTGCATTTTATTTTCTTTGTTTTTCTCTTGATAATCTCCTTCTCAGATAATTTTGAATGAAAAGGTAAGAGTATTATATAAAAATAATTCAAATATTATAGGCTGATATAAACAGTTAAAGAGAGAACAAGAATAAAAAGGGCACAGTATAGCTTACCTCTTTTGCTAATTTCTGTCCCTGCTCCATAGATATTGGTTTCTCTTTCATGTCATTCAGTCTTGCTAAAGTTTTAGGGTCATCACGAAGATCAATCTGTTATGAAAATCAGAACAATGTACAAACATTCTTATGCACACTTCAAATCAAAATTCATGTTACAGCTTAGAACTGGATCCATCCAGGCCAAGTCACTCATATTTAGGACATTTTGAAATCAGTGGAATTTTAAGTACAACCATCTTAGGTTGGATTCAACCCAGCAGCCACCATGAATATGCAAGTTATGGTGGATGGTGGCCATGACTTAAATAGTCACAGTGGCTTTCAATAAGCTATGGCAGGTGGCAGTGATCATGCAAACCTGGCCATAATCTGCTAGTTTTATTCGTAAGATCTGATCATTGGGTATTCGTTTATTTGTACGAGTTACACTATATTCTGAATGGAGTTGGACGCAGAGTATACCTTTCTGTGGGTTGAAACAAACGTTACAAAATAGATGGGGGTTCCTAATCCCATGACATGTTCTGGAGGCATGATCTGAAGCAAAGCAGGTCCAGCTCACACCAGTGCCTGGATAGCATCCACTTGGAAACGCTACACAATTGCATGGAAGAAATGGCGTCAGAGACTGGGAGTGCTGAACCCTTTGCTTGATTTTTCCCTCTCTCCTTTTTTAAATTTCAGCTGTATACTAGAAATAATCTAGAGAGAAAAGGGGACTGGGAGAAGGGTTGCAGGGAAGATTAGGCAGGTGAATTAGACAATTTCTCCTCTGCAGAGTGTTGTGCGTGACCATTAACTGGCAAAGTTACCTTTTGGAAATGCATCTTTTTCCATCATCATCTGTAGATCTATTCTGAATCCCAAACCAATCTTACAATTATCTTTTCAGTATGGGAAAGAAGAAAAATAGTCTAGACTCACAATAATAGACCCATTTAAAGCAATCAGTCCACAAATGTTGTATTAAGAAGGGCAGGACTTGACACTTGTCTGGCAAACATCCAAGGGTAACGGTGTGCACACACAGCCTTCTCCCAGGAGGAGGCAGGTATCTCTCTTCATACAGCAACCCCACATTTGATTTGGGAAAGCACAGCATACATTGTGCCGTCTGTTCTGACCCCACCATTCCCACAGATGGGGAAAGAGGAAAAAAGTATGTGGAAGGGGCTTGGAAAAGGCTAAAAAGATGCAAGGACCAGTGCAGAATTAGTTATTTTTTTTTGCATTAAGAAAGATCGGTTGAAGAGCAGTAGGCTCCCCTTTCCATCCCATGGTAGCATGTGATGCACACTGTTGAATTCATCTGCTTGGATCCAACCATCGCTGGTTTATCATTTATGGGTGATGTAACGAGTATTCATAAGCAAGCACATTAGTGTACAGAGCTCAATGAGGAGAGCCTTGGGATGCAATCCAGACACAAGAGCAGCTCTTTCACCTGGAAGCCCCCTTTATAAATAATGCTTAACCGAACAACATCAGTAAAGGCCCCTTCCCTGAAGGGCTCACACTGCACATTTTGACAGTGAGGGAGGTTCATTTCAGTTGTGCGTGGTGGTTGAAGGTTTGGACCAAAGGCTTCTTGGGACAAGATGAGTGTCGAGGAGGGACAGACAGAGATGGCACCATACAGATGTTCTGGGGGGCATTCCTATGCATAATGGATGGCAAAGGAGGATCAACTCAGCCAGTTACGAAGGTAGGAAATGGTTTTGGTAGCCAAGGGTGGTCCAGTTGGAGGAATGATAGGTCACGGGAAGGGAAAGAAGGGCAGAAAGGTGGAACAGACTGAGTCCATGAAGGGCCCAAGAAGTAAAGACAGGGACACTGGCCTGGATATAAGAAAGGATGATGAGCATGATCATGATCAACATCAACATTTACATACTACTTTTTTGCAAAACCCATCAGGGCGGTGTGCAGAACAACAAAATGTTAAAGGCTCATTCCTATGCATGACTAGAGAGGAAAAAGCCAACAGCTCCAAGCATGGTGGGGGCTTGCTGAGAGAGGCAGGCCTTTTTCCTGCCTACCCATGCATAGCATTGGGCCTTAGGCATATTTTCCTCTTCCTTTCATACAAAGCACCCAACATTCAGGCCTACCTGGGTTCCAACTAACAAATAGGGTACATTTGGTGCATGCTCCTTGAGTTCTGGTACCCATTCCTCCTTGACGTTCTGAAAGGAGGCCGGATTTACCACCGAGAAGCAGATGAGGAAGACGTCCGTCATGGGGTATGACAGCGGCCTCAGGCGATCATAGTCTTCCTGTGGACACAAACAGAAATACGTTTTCACTCCTCTGCTAGTCGCTCATGGCATTTCGGGTGTGGTAACTTTTGTCTGATACACATTTGTGAATCGGAGCATCAATATTGCACTCGTGTCTGACTTCTCCTCCAAGGAATGTTGGGTGGCCGGCAGGATTCTCCCCATGTTATTGTTAAGCAGTGAGAAACCCTTGCTGATCTATGGCCAGTCATCCCACAGATCTGCTAGGACAGCCCAGCGTAACTTCTTCCAAGCTCTAGTAACATCTTCCAAAGGCCTCAGGCAGAACTCTGTCCTATCACCTGCTACCTGATCCTTTTTATCCGGAGATGGCAGGATTGAACCAGGGATCTCCTGCACTGCACACCATGTGCTCTATTGTTGTTGTTGTGTCTTGTTGTTATTGCGTAGCCAAAGCGCTTTGGGTGGTTCGCAACATTTTTTAAGTCACCCACCCAGCTTTCAACCGAATGCTCTACTGCTGTGCCACTGTTCGTTGCCTACATTGTCGGGCATATACTGACTGGTCTGTCCTCCAAAAGACAGATTAAAAAACTGTTCATAATGAATTTAGACTATTTTAAGAACCATTATAATAGTTGGCAGATTGTCATAATCTTTTGGCCAAGTTACGAGTGGATTTTGTTAGGCAGAATACCAATGAATAGTTGTTACCTCATTTCTATTTTAACTTTTTCTTAATCTAGTTTAATGAATACTGGGTAAAACAACACTATTTATTGATTTATTTTCTATACCACTCAACAGTCAATGTTCTCTGGGCTGTTCGCAACAGCATATTAAAAAAAAAAAACCAATATAAAATAAATCCTGCAACCCTAAGTACTGCAGAATTTTATAGGTAGAAATCAGCACCTTGACTTGGGCACAGAAACATATGGGCAGCCAGTGCAAGTGGGCCAGAATTGGTGCGATATGATCAGACCATCTGGTCCCTGTTATTAGTCTGGTTTCCCATTTTTGCGCAAGCTGCAGCTTCCAAACAGTCTTCAGGGGCAGCCCCATGTTAAGTGCACTGCAGCAATCTAGCTAAGAGAGTACCACAGCACAGGTCAATGACAGCAGGCTATTTCTGTCCCGGTAAGGGTATAGCTGATCGCAAATTCTCCTGAACTGAACTCAAATTCTCCTTTGTTAATACTTTCTAAGAAAAATTGCATTCTGAATTATCATTATAAGAATGTAAAAAGAGCTCTGCTGGATCAGACCAAAGTCCTGCTTGTCCATAAGTCTGTTCCCAACGTGGCCAACCAGATGCCTGTGGGAAGGGCACAAATAAGACGCGAGTACAACAGATTCTGTGATCCCACTGTTTTCCAGCAACTGGTGTACAGAAGAATGCTGCCTTTGACCCACCAGATTCCATACAGCCACCATGGCTAGCTGCCAACTATCCTCCAAGATGTGTTTGATTCCCTTTTAAAGCCATCCAAATTGGTGGCCTTAAGTACATCTTGGGGTAGCAAATTCCATAGCCTAACTATATGCTGTGAGACATTTATCTTTCTTGATTCTCAACCAACATTATGGGATCCCAGATTCTAGTATTACAAGCCAGGGAGAAAAATACCTCTCCATTACCTCCACACCATACATAATTTTACACATAACTTTCTCATTTGCCTTTTTGCTAAGCTAAAAAGCTTTGCTGTACCTTTTTTCTCCTAGGGAGTTGTGCCAGCCTCCTTCATAACTTTGATGCCTTTTTCTCTACCTTCTTCAGCTCTACCATATCCTTTTTGAGCTGGTTCGAATTATGTATAACCATAATTATATATAGTATTCAGCACTTGAACACCCCACAGTGCAATTACAACAGTTTTTTATATTGGCAAATTTGTTTTTGTTTCATTTCCTAATGCTGCCCAAGATGAAATGGCCTTTTTCACAGCAGCCATGTATCAACTGGTTCCCCACAAAATGGTAACTCACACTCAGGGGTTGAAAATGCTTTGAGTTTTGGTTGCTGTGGGAACCATGGGTTGTTGTGTAGTCCAAACCCAGCCACAATAGCAAGCCATGGTTTATTGTTAGGTTGTTAACTATGTGTTGTTAAAACCATGGCTATTTTGGCTGGGTTCAGACAACACTGATTTCAGCCCATACTTCAGCAACCACCCATGTCTCAAGGACAAACCATACTCCACCTTGAGCATGGGTTATTAATTTGTGTGAACCTAATCACTGGCTCAATGTTTTCATCACCTTACAACTCCAAGAGCCCTTCCTGGTGAGCTACAGCCAGCTCAGATCCACAGGCATAAATGTAAAGTCAGGAATTCTTGCTCCAGGATGCATCACATCACACCTGCTTATATTGAACTACATTCACCATTCTGATGCCCATTCTCCAGTTTACAGAGATTAAACCAGCCTAAATAATTTGGTGTCATCAGCAAAGCTGGCCACCTCAGTGCTCGCTCCTAATTCATGAACATTTATGAACCAATTAAAAAGTATTCAGCCAAACACCGATCCCCAGAGATTATCACCATTTACATCCCTCCATTGAGAGTACTGTCCATTTATTCCTACTCTCTGGAGCATCTCCCCTGCCAGCAAATGACATCCAGTGAAGTAGCACCAGGACACAAGCCACTGACATCATACCAAGTCTTCTGCCTCCCTGAGCATTAATGAGAGAAGGAAAGGCAAGGCCTCTGCTTTCATTGCTGGCTGGCCATCACACACCATTCTGTCTTCATCCCATATGCAAGTAGAGCTACTGAACGGTGCAATTAAATGGAACAAAGACTCCATGATCTTCTCAAAATGCATAAACACTTGAGGCCTTTTAACCTAGTTAGACAAGATAGCCAAGGAGGCACAGGAATATATAAAAATCAGAAAAATGTGTATATTTTTTCAAGATACCATACTTTCACTATGTGCTTGGTTTGAACCTACAGACTTTATGGCTGCTGGATGATGTGGCAGCCTATAATGGCTTTAAAAATTGATTAGATCAATTCATGGAGGACACTAGCCATTAACCAGCCCAAAATGCAACCTTTGTAGGAGAGATGGTTAACCTTTGACTTGTGACAAACAAGCCACACAGGACTCAGCAATTCCCATGTTTGAAACCAAACTCTTCATTCCCTACTTATCCTACTCCTGGAAAGAATGACCTTTGCTGGGTGGGGAGCAGAGGAAAATATGGAAGCAAGCTGCCAATTGCAAATTAGATTTCTTTCCCCTTGGGCTTTTATGAGTTTGAAGAAATGGACCTTGTTTTTCAGAGACCTGGAAGTGATTTAAGGTTTTAGGGTCTGTGCTGCAGATTGTTGTAATATGCTGTGAGCTCCCTTGAGAGGGGCAACTTAGAAATTTGGTCAGCCAGTCAGTCGAACAGTAAGAGTCATGTGGAACCAAAGTAAACATCCTCCAATGCTGTCACCGGCCACACAGATCCTTCTGCTGACTTACAAGCAAGGCAAGAATGTCCCGTCATTTATTATTATTATTATTATTATTATTATTATTATTATTATTATTATTCCATTTCTATGTCGCCCCTTGCCGAAGGCTTACAACACAATAAAATACAATACAATACAAAAATAACAATATAAAATTAAAATTAATAATATAAAATTATATATATATATATATATATATATATATATATATATAAACAATATAAAAGAAGTTATAAAAGAAAAGAAGTCTCCAGTTTATCTCCAGTACCAGGTAGTCCTAGGCACTGCGGGTGGCGCAGTGGTTTAAACTGCTGAGCTGCTGGATTGGTTGGTCGAAAGGCTGACAGTTCGAATCCAGACGGGGTGAGCTCCCGTGCTTTGTACCAGCTCCTGACAACGTTGCAGTTAGAAAGCACTTAAATGCAAATAGATAAAAAGGTACCACTTTGGTGGTAGGTAACAGCATTCCGTGCCTTCAGTTTAGTCATGCCGGCCACATGACCTCAGAAACTGTCTGCGGACAAACGCTGGCTCCCTCGGCTAGGAACGGAGATGAGCACCGCCCCCGAGAGTCAGGCATGACTGGACTTCACGTCAAGGGGAAACCTTTACCTTTTTTACAGGTAGTCCAAATGGACCAGTCAGTCTTTACACAAAGGCTTCATCCAGCTGTCAATGAATTGGCTGGTGTGTCCCCGGATTTGGTCTTTGAACCAGTGTGGCACAATGGTTACGAGTGCTGGATTGCAATAAAAAGGCTGGCTTGTGGCTTAATTGAAACATTTTAAAAAAGGGTTTGACTGGGCTTGTAGTCCCCACTTCGTCATGAAGCTCACGGGGTGACTTCGGGCCAGTTACTCGCTGTCAGAAGGTAAACGCCGCACACATGCGTGTGCACACAGAGAAACGCATCTCTATCTACATCTCATGTCCAGCGTTCTGTTTCACTGTCTATGAAATACCGCAGCTTTAAAAGCTCCATGGACATTTACAGAACCTCACCCATAGGGATGGCTTTTGCAACCAGCTGGCATTAGCTACTAAATGGGCAGAAGGGTTGGCAGAACTGCTCCCGCCCTGGCATTAGGATCCAGAGGCAAGCGAGGTCATCAGGCAGCAAGAGAGTCCGGGTCATCGCCAGGGAAACCAGCTGTTGCGTTTGATTGCCAAAAGCAGCTGCAAGTGGAAGCGGAGCGGGGAGGGGGAAGCCGACTGCTGGCAATGCACAGGGCAGCCAAACACAGTCGAGCTCTCAAAGGGTGGGGACGCTTCCCGGCTGGAGCTCTGTGCTGGAGTAGATGCTTTGCAAGCACGACACTGGAGGGTACCAGGCGAGCAAAGTCATGTGCAAATAAAACTGAGCTGCAATGACCAATGTCTGATTAGCCAACAGGCCGTTTCTTAGCCCCACTGTAACAGACCCCCTTCTCATGCCTGATCAAGAGAACACCTGGCACTCCATGAGGCATGTCAAGAAAAACTGAGTTGTACAAGCTGCATAAATTAAACCAATGGAAGAAAATCCCATTTTCTTTCCCTCTGAATAGTTTATTC